GTGACGGCCCTCGGTTGCCCTCCCTGACAGGGTCGGGCTCCATGCAGCACTGGACTGGCCGTTTGTTGCTGGCTGTGTCACACCCACCCACCCCAGCAGGACTCCCCACCCCGCCACCTAAGGCCCAGCACGGGGCCCTGCTCCTAGGAGCTCCACAGAGTCAGGGCTTATGATTTGTTCAGAAAGTTCCTGAAATGAAGCTGTGCCAGTTTAGGAAAGAAAAGGTGTCGTTGACTTTATACCCCACGTGAATTGGGTGGGGAGCAGAGCGGTGCCTCCTCCCACACTCCTCTCCCCTCTCCCCAGGAAAGGTGACTCAGCACCCTCCGCGGACCTCCACCCACACCCTCCGCGGACCTCCACCCACACCCTCCGGCTCACAGCAGGACGCAGCCTGGTGGCCAGAGGCCGCAGCTAGAGAGCCTGTTCCCCACCCGCCCTTCTCCCTCCCTCAGCAGAGAGAGAGGCGTGGGGAAGGCAGACAGCGGCCCCTCCGACCGGGGCCCAGGCCAGCAGACACAGACACAGATGGCCCGAGGCCCTGCACCTGGCCCGGGAACCCCCAGCGAGTTTCACGTCTCTCTCCTGCACCCCGGCATCCGGCCGCCTACCTGGCATTGACGATATTCCCCGCACTCAGTTCCACCATCTCTTCAAACCCCACGGCAAATATGTCAGCTGGGCTGCTGTCATCTGGGGGCAAGGCAGGAGATGAAGGAAGTCAGACCCCCCATGGCCAGCCTGAGCTCAGTCGTGGGGCGCCACATTGGCCTGTGGGCGCAGGTATCCCTCTGCCCAGGTGCACTCATCCAGTCCCCTGGGCGGAGCTCGCACCGGCCCACATCCCCTCCATCCCGCCCTGTGCACGTGGCCTTTCTCCTCTGCATCCTGGGGCGGGTGCCTGCACCTCACCAGCGGCCACGAAGTGTCAATCAGAGGCCGTGTAAGCCCCGCCCTGCCAGGTGGGTCCTAAGAGCCTCTTCCTCCCGGTGACGTCACAGGCGTCACCCCTTCTCCCCCGGTTCCCAGGGGCAGGCACTGTCTCACACTTGTCTGTGCCCCACGAGTGCTTTTACGGGCGGGGCCCAGCCTTCCCTGGGGAGTGACCGACAGGAAGCACAGCACGTGGAGGGGTGTGAGCCATGCGTCCTGTGTGCCCTTTAACAGGGAAGCTGAGGGTGCCATGCCACCCCTGCGGCCACTGGCCACCTCTCTCCAGGCACGTCCTTCTGACACTCAGCGTCCTGAGCCAGGAAGCCAGCGGCTCTCGAGCTGCAGCAAGTGACATCCCTCCCCCTCCTCCCTGACTCCATCCAAAAGGCCAGTGTCCACGGCCTTCCTGTTGGCCACACAGGACACCCGGACCCTCGAGCTTAACTGGCTTAGAGTTTCTTTTCTTTCTTTAAAGAAAAAAAACACTATTCCTCTGATTTGCGTGGCAACAGCCACACCCCTTCTCTCTTCTGAATGCGATGAGTTTTAGTGGGAGCCCTGGTGCACCCTCGATCCCACAAGAATCCCCTGCGCAGTAAGAGGCAGGGTGCTGTCAGCACCCACCTGCTCCTGCAGACAAATGAAGACGAGCCATTTTACAGGACACCCGGACCCTCGAGCTTAACTGGCTTAGAGTTTCTTTTCTTTCTTTAAAGAAAAAAAACACTGTTCTCTGATCTGCGTGGCAACAGCCACAACTCCTTCTCTCTCCTGAATGCGATGCGTTTTAGTGGGAGCCCTGGTGCACCCTCGATCCCAAGAGAATCCCCTGCGCAGTAAGAGGCAGGGTGCTGTTGGCACCCACCTGCTCCTGCAGACAAATGAAGACAAGCCATTTGAGCAAAAGGAGCTGCAGTCAGCCCAGCCTGTGCGCTTACAGGGCCTGCCTGGGGGAGGGGGGTGGCATTCACAGACACAAGAATCCCAGTGACCCCAAATGGCAGACGCGAGCTCCCCTGACCCCCGAGGCAGCAAGGGGGTGCAGACTGCCTGCCTGGCTGGGATGGGGCTCTCCTGGCAGCGAGGGGCTCCTGCTCCTCCCGCTGGATCCGGAAGAGACTCCAGGGAGCCGGAGGGAGCGAGGCCCTGGGTGTGTGCCGACCGCAGGAAACTCACTTCCTCCTCCAGTCTGAGCTCTGAGGCCTTTACATGCTACCTCGCAAGACCTAAGACAGAAGGTGACGTGTCAAATGTGGGATTATTCAAGGGGGTGCAGACTGCCTGCCTGGCTGGGATGGGGCTCTCCTGGCAGCGAGGGGCTCTTGCTCCTCCCGCTGGAACCAGAAGAGACTCCAGGGAGCGGGAGGGAGCGAGGCCCTGGCCTTTACATGCTACCTCACAAGACCTAAGACAGAAGGTGAGGTGTCAAATGTGGGATTATTTCCTTCTTAAAAGGCACACAAAGCCATGGCTTGGCGCGGCTGCATCTGTTGCACGGTTGGTTTGGGGGAAAGCAGGAGCGGACGTTCGTGGCCAGTGGTGCTGTGGCCAGATCCGTGGCCAGCGGTGCCGTGAACCACGTGCCCGGCCCCTCACAGGAACATGATTCCAGAGGCCGCCTCTTCCTCCTTACACAGGAGGTTCTACTGATCAAAACCTAAAAACTGCGAATCTGTGTGTGTGAAGGGGGGAGAGAGTTGCGGCTGTGAGAACCCTAAACGCTTGGATGAGAGAAGGCGGCAACACAAAGCCATGGCTTGGCGCGGCTGCATCTGTTGCAGTTGGTTTGGGGGAAAGCAGGAGCGGACGTTCGCGGCCAGCGGTGCTGTGGCCAGCAGTGCCGTGGCCAGATCCGTGGCCAGCAGTGCCGTGAACCGCATGCCCGGCCCCGCACAGGAACATGATTTCAGAGGCCGCCTCTTCCTCCTTAGACAGGAGGTTCTACTGATCAAAACCTAAAAACTGCGAATCTCCGTGTGTGAAGGGGGGAGAGAGTCGCGGCTGTGAGAACGCTAAACGCTTGGATGAGAGAAGGCGGCGGGTAGTCCACGTGCCAGGGGTGCTCTGAGGGTAGACCCTGTGCTCTCTAAACCCCGAGGACGCGGGAACCCCAAACACCACATTTCACGGGTCAACCGCTATGGAAAAGGTCAAGCCACGGCTCGATGGAATGGGCGCTCACCCTGGGGCTCGGGCTCGGAAAGCCTGGGCGAGTCCAGCAGCCACTCGGCGAGCTCGGCGGTCCCGAGCAGGTTGCTCCGGAACTGCTTCCCTCCGTTCACGTTCCAGGTCCCCATGGCGACACGGACCCGCTTGTAATTTGTGAACTCCGCCTGGCGCTCCGACATGGCCCTCAGGATCCTGGGGGTCACTGCGGGGAGGCAACACAGGGCACGTCTGTCCACATCCCACAGGCCCCTGCCTCTCCTGGAAACACGGACAGGGTGGGGTCTCTGTCCGCGAGAGAGGGTGCCTCTCTCCTGCCTCCTCGTGTGGCCGCACGGGACTGACCATCTCATAAAAGAGCAGCGTAGGTCCCTGGCCAGGCTCCGCCACAGCCACATGCAGAGCACACGCCCCCGCCGCCCACCCTCAGGCTCAGGGGAGTGTCTGCCACCCGCCACCTGGGATGACATGAGGGGTGGGGAGGGCTGGCTGGCACCCCGCACGCCCTCGGCGAGCGGAGAGGCACCCCGTACCCAGCAGGGCCGTGTTGTCCAGTAGCATCCTTCCCTTGTCGGCCGCCTCCTCCGTGTAGACGTCCCCGACCAGCAGCAGCTTGATGGCCTCCTGCTTCACGCCGTCGAAGAAGTTGGACTGGATGGTGCGGGACACGGACCGGGCCCCGTCCTTCAGCTTCCCCACCTGCCGAGAGCGGGACACAGGCCGTGAGAGGCATCCACACGCCACCCCCCGCCACTCCGGACCCTGGCCTGCCCCTACCTTGGCCTTCCCCTCCAGGGCGCGGCTGCCCGTGAACATCTTGCTCAGGCTGTGCCCGTTCAGAGACCACATGGCTTTGAAGGACTCCACGAAGCGGTCGGCAATGGGCTTTGAATTCAGCCCGAGGCTCCTGAGCTGCAGGTGAAGGACCTGGCGAGAGTGAGCACAGGGGTCATCGACGTCCCCCCGGGAGCTCCCCCAGCTGCCGCTCACCCCACCCGGGGTTCCCTCTCCTCCAGAGGACGAGGAACCCTTGAGCAGAGAAGGGGGCCTGCACCACAGCTACCCCCACGTTACCATCCCACCCAGCCTCCTCTGACCCCCGAACGATGTCCCTGCCCCACCACCAGAGGGTGCACAGCGAGGAGGGCAGTTGGCCTGCAAGCGGGAAGCCAGGAGGGATCACGCAGACACACAGACAGACTGGGGTTCCCTCCGAGGCCTCCAGCCAGCCTCCCGCACAGCCTCTCCCCGCCTCTGCCCGGCAGTGTGCTCACAATACTCCCGCCCAGAGCCCTGCTCCCCCAGGTGCACCTGGCACCTCGGCCCCCACGTCGGAGATGCATGAAAGTGTGTCTGACGGGTCAGAGGCAAGCCAGCCCCCCCGGAGACCTCTCCAGGTGCCTAGCACATCCCGCCCCCCTCCCCAGTGACGCCCTCATCCTGCCCATGGAGGCGCAGGCCCAGCCTGCCCCGCTGAAGGCACAGACACGACAGAGGGCCGAGGGGCCGGGGCAGGACAGACCTCAAGCGCAATGAAGCTCTGCACCGTGTTGGTTCGGTCCAGGCAGTCGAGACAGTTCATCCGCAAAGTGCCTTTCTGAAAACTTAGGAAAACAGGGAATAAACGGTTACGTGTTGTGTTAGAAGGAGCAATGGCTGCAGCACAGTGGCCTGTGTGTGACGTAGGCCCTTCAAAACGGGTGCCCCTCGTAGCTCACCAGGACCCCAGCACACGGGGTCGGCAGCCCGCACACCCGGGTCATTCTAAACACAGTCGATTCCCATGATTCACCGCAGTAACGCTCAGGAAGTGGCCGTGAACTATCGGTGATCCACTAGCCCACGAGCAAATCCTGAGCCACTGCTCGCAGGGAAACAGCCGCCAGGTTCCTGAGCCTCTGGTCACGTGTTTCCACCAACTACTCCGCACACAGCCTGTTTCACCGGCTCCTCTGGCAGAGACGCCTTAGTTCTGTGCGTTCCTCAGCACTGAACGCACAGCCAATGACGCTTTCACCGCTGCACGAAGCTTCCTGAACTCTCCGTACGTCACGTCACATCCCTCCTGTGCTGAGGGTCACTAGACGGCACTCAGCACCATGTTTGGGGGCCGTTTCAAACAGTGACATTGCCAACAAAGTGCACAAAAATGTGAAGCCGTGGCACTAACGAGATGCAGCAAGAGAGCGGAACAGAGGGCAGAGCCCGTGGGAACACACGCCGGGCGGGCGGCTCAGGCTCTCACCGGCGGAGCATGTCTGTGAGCGCCGGGAGCGTGGGTTCGGGGTCACAGGTCTACCCAGTGGGCACACTGGCAAATACAGACTCTGGGAATAACGAGGATCGGCCGTGTTGTGATTTGAGGACCCTGGACTTCCTTTTTCTGCTCAGCTGAGCAGCAAAATCCACACCCGTTTTCCTGGGCCATCGGGGTTATGCTAGCCCCCCCTTCTCTCTCGGGGTTTCACCTCTGTCTGGAGAAGTCATATGGTTACCATGGCTCCCATTCTAGCCTGGTCGTCCTTATTTGTAGATTTAATGTGCTTTCCTGTCTACTCACAACATTCAAAAGCAAATTCTGATGGGGACCGGGGAGGGAGAGGCTGGAACCCCGGGGCCCAGGATACTGCAAGCTGGCGAGTGGCGGGAAGGCACGCAGCCCGGGGCATCC